TGTGTAGCTCAGGGTTGAACTGTGGAGTCCTTGGGGTTTTCTGAGCTTGGTTGTTTTCTTGAAAACATTTCATTACCCGGCTAGGTGACATCTTCAGTGCTAGAATAGAATGGGGAATTTGCTCTCTATTTATATACTGTGGCCTGCCTTGCCAGTGCTGGTGGGGGTGGGGGTTTTGTTTTGCTTCTCTGGTAGTTCCTTGATTAGGGTATGGTTCACTGCTTGATTGTGTGCCTGGTGGTGAACTTTGCTTATCTGGGTGATGACTGCTGGTGAGGCGATCTTCTGCTCTTTTGTCTCTTATGTGTCTGTTAATTGCTGCCTTGTCTGAATACCAAGCTTCCAAGAATTCTCTTGCATTTTTGGATTTAGCTTGGTCTAAAATGCTGACAGCTTCCCAGTTAAAACTATGGTTAAGTCTGTCAGACTTAGAGATAAACAGCGTCTACATACTATTCGAAAGAGACAAAAGACCAGAAGATCGCCTCACCAGCAATCATCACCCAGATAACCAGAGGTTACCACCAGGCACACAATCAAGCCGTCAACATAGGCTAATCAAGGAACGACCAGAGAAGCAAAACAAAACCCCCACCCCCACCAACACCGGCAAAGCATGCCACAGTATATAAACAGAGAGCAAACCCCATCCCATTCTAGCACTGAAGATGTTACCTAGCTGGGTAATGAAACATTTGCAAGAAGAGAACCAAGCTCAGAGAACCCCAAGGACTCCACAGGAAACCTCACATTCTGAAAAAACACAAAGAAGTCAGCCAGGTTAGACATTCTTCTCTGTGCATAGTGAGGACCGGTAGAGACAGAGTAAGCAACACACCAAGCAAGAGAAATAGCTGGATGGCCTCTGAACTGTGTTTGATTACCAGAGTTTAACTAGTGGTAGTCTCTGTGGCAGGTTTTTGTGGTTGTTACTGTTGTCCTGTGTCATCTTTTACCTGCACTGCTGATTATGCTGAGCATTAGTTTTTTATTTTTTTAGAAATCAAGACTGAATCAGAAATTCCACCAAATCTATTTGAGGCAATGCCTTTTATCTGACCAGTTTAAGATTACAAAATAGCATGCAAGTGTTGTGTTCCAAGAAATCTTTATCAGGCAAGTTGGCTGTTGTGGTTGTTGTTGATTAAAGGGAGGGCAGGAATAATTATCAATGATGTTAAAGCCATGTCTGTCGAGTGGAAACTGAAAGGAGCTACAGGAAAACATACATTTGTTTTCATCTGTATGAAAACCTACAGATCGGGCCCTGGACAAATACCAATCTGATTTTAATTTTAGACATTCTGAAAGAAGAAGTTAATAGTAGCCAAATCAGGAAGAATTATTGAGTGCTGAAAGGGCATATATCCTCAGAAAATTCTATTCAGTTCCATTGAGTAGCTATTTAGTTTAGAGCAACAGTGCAGTAGGAAATTGTAGCACTCTGCAAATTAACTGGCAATTGCAGCATGTCAGCATAAACCAATTCTAGAGGAAGGTTTTCGTTGCAGTATAATGTTCTCTTAAGGAAAGGCCCATGATTCAGATACAGCCCTCCAGGGTCAGATGTCACTCCCAGATACCCTCCAAATTTAGTCACCAGATTGTTAAGCTGAATCCAGAGGGAACAGTGAGGCACAGATGGGTGCTGTTTACATACTTTCTGGAGAAAAGAAGAAATGGAAATTGTTATAAGAAATCGTAACACAGTCCTCCCATGCAATCTAGCCAGTCATTTCTGTGTTTGCGTTGAAGTCTGTGCCAGCTCTAAAGGGAAATTTCCTTTTATAGGAGCCTTTGGAAGCATTTTCGTGCCGTGAGCCTGTGTTTGTTCTTGCTGGTCTTCCCAGCTTACATGGCCTACATGATCTGCCAGTTTTTCCACATGGACTTTTGGTTACTGATCATCATTTCTAGCAGCATTCTCACCTCCCTCCAGGTAAGTTGTAAGGGCCTCTTGGTTCCTGTGATCAACACGAGCCAGTCAGCTGCAGCGTTGAGCAAGCTGTTGGAAAAAAGCAGAATGGAAATACGTAAAGGAGCATTTTCCACCTCTTTCTCTTAAAGGAAATGTGCAGCCAAAGGACTGCCTGCACTGATTGATTACTGTACGTGCCATCAAATTGTTTCTGACTCCTAGTGACCTGTCCAGATAGACAGACAGACTGACCGACCTACCTTAACCTTCCTTTCTGGCCCCATGAATGGGTGAGGCCAATTAACTCTTTTTTTTTTTTTTTTTTTTGGCATTGGGGAGATCTTTAGGGGTTTTGGAAGGGCAAAAATGGGTCTTATAAGCTTTGTGGGTGTTCTTTTCACCCTCAGAACTCTTAAAATTTCCTATCAGCCCGTGTCCAAGTCCTGCCCATTTTTGGAGTATGGCCCTTGACATTCCACACAAATCCTGGTGTAGCTCTTGTGCTAATGGAAGTTACACCCCCTGCTTACAGCCCTCTCTGTTCCTGGCCCAACACAGCATATCGGCTTATTTTGTACAGATTACTAAACTGTGTCATGATAAATTTATATCAATATATAAAATAACTGTTACCAGGGAAATATAAAATGTTGATGTCGAAACATGGGATAGAATCCAGTACTTTGATTTCAACTGCAATGTTGAGCGTGTGATCAGATCTCAGATTGTACCCAGTGATACAGCAGCTCTCAACCCTGGAATACAGTCTTTCTCTCATTCATTCTCTTTCTCACAGGCATACTTGCAAAGCCCTGGATTTGAACTTTGTTAAACAAGATTTGATTTAGCATATGGCAATAATAGCAGTTGATTAATACAATTAATAATTTACCAAAACCAAATAGCTAATACTGAAGAGGTGCAACCTTGTGACTTGCCTCCTTTAATCAAAAGGTGTTATTTTTTCTCCTTCAGGTCCTGGGGACGCTCTTCATTTATGTCTTATTCATGGTGGAAGAGTTCAGAAAAGAGCCGGTAGAAAACATGGATGATGTTATTTACTATGTGAATGGCACCTATCGGCTTCTGGAGTTCCTTGTGGCTCTTTGTGTTGTGGCCTATGGGGTATCAGAGACTATCTTTGGAGAATGGACTGTGATGGGCTCAATGATCATTTTCATTCATTCGTACTATAATGTGTGGCTTCGGGCTCAGTTGGGATGGAAAAGCTTTCTTCTCCGCAGAGATGCAGTCAATAAGATTAAATCACTGCCCACTGCCACCAAAGACCAGTTGGAACAGCATAATGATATCTGTGCCATCTGCTATCAGGTAAGTGCTGTGATTAAGGTGAGGTGTGTGGCTGTAGCTCTGGCTCCTCCTTGTGGTGTTTTATAAAAAGGCTGAAGCTTTGGGACTGATTGAATTCTAAATGAACTGATCTGGGAAGTTCCCGGTTTACAAGGATTGAAAGGGTCAGAGCTGTGTGACCAAGGGGCAGGAGCAGGCTGTGTGCCAGAACATAGGATCAGCTCCTCCAGGTGCTGAAACGGTAGAGAAGAGGAAGAAGTGGAAGGTTGTATGAATTGGGACGCCGCATTTCCAAGGTTCCCATATGCCACATAACCATCATTTACCCTGTTACATACAAAGTTTAAGGAGCAGAGAAGTGTGCCAACTCTGCTACCAAACGACTGCTCAGCTGTCCCATAAAATGCCTATTGAGCCAGTCCTTTCACCAGTTGGTCTAAAAAATAATGAAAGGCTGGCTGCTGTGGTAGCATCTGCATCTTTCATGTTGCAGAGAAGTACAGTGGTACCTCTACTTACGAACTTAATCCATTCCGTGACTCTGATCGCAAGTCGAGTTGGTCGCAAGTCGAAG